ACATTAGTCCTAAACATAAGATCTGAGAAAGGCCTGTCTCCTCCTTCCTCCAGCAACCTACAAATACAGCCTGCTAAAGGAGTAGTGGCATTTGGTTTGAAAATCACACTGACTCATGAAGCTTAAAGTCATTATGAAGTGTTGATTTCTATGTTCACACAACGTATATCTATAATACTGAGCATCCTTCCTCATAAGTATAGCAAATCTTAAACAATATATTTGGATGTATTTAAGCAGCACATGTTATTTAGACAAATTGTATCTATTATTATATTTAGTCAGTTGAAAGCTTGCAACACTTAACAAATAGACATTATAATTTCAATCCTAAAATATGGAAATTAACCTGCCATTTAGAGAAAGATATTTTAAAATATAACCGGCACAATTATTTACATGTAATTCAGTCAGAATAACTTATTTAAATTTATTTTATTATATTTAGTCTCTCTTATTTACTCAGTCATACATTAGAAATTGTTTTCTTCACCCATGAACATTAATTTAACAAATACCTAATAAAAAAAATAACAGCATGAAGGCTAATTGACAAAATAGCAAGTGACTTACTGCCAAGTAGGTAAAATTGATGGAAAAATTCAATGACGATAGATAGATATATGAAGAGTGCAGTAACTGTAAACCAATTTTCATTGGCTGAATTCCAAAATGAAGCAAACCAATAACAGCTTGATGATGATAAACTGTTGAAGACTGCAGTAACTGTAAAACCAATTTTCATTGGTTGAATTCCAAAATGAAATTAAGCAACACAAACTCAGGCCAAATGCTTTAAAATTTGCAGAATCAGCCAATAGAGGATAGGAAGCTGATCAGGGATTGTTGACTGACTGAAAGTTTTTTATGCCTTATCAACCCTTTATGGATTTTTTAAAGCCAAAACACATTTTTGAATAGCTGAACAAGAATTGATCACTCCTGGTTGGGTTGCCAGAGAGGGTGCAGTTAATATTTTTAGAGTCCTCAAAACACCATTTATGCAACAGGGCCAGAATTTGGCATAAACAGCATGAAATTATGGATTCATCCTGTCTTTTATCAATGCTTCAGGCTGGTGGTGGGATGGTATAGGGAATATTTTCTTGGCATACATTAGGACACTTGGTTCTAATAAAAGAGTATTTAAATGCTGAGGTCTAACTTGGTATTGTAGCTATCTATATACCTTAATTTATGACTATGGTGCACCCATCCTCTGGTAATCACTTCCAACAGGACAACACACCAAATCAAAAATAGTAACAGATTAGTTCATAGAAAAACAGAAAATTTTCTGTGTTAAGTTTATCCCTACCATTAAAAAAAATGACAGCCATATTTAAACCTTTGTCTGTCCAGGGCATTTTTTTGTGTACTATCCAAACGTTCAGGCTTATTTTCAGATTTATAACTATTGCAAGGCAACTCAGCTTATTTGGTAAATAGAATGTGTTGATCTATAACGTTTCACATAATAAAAACCCAAGCATCATGTGATGCACAGAATGTACAAATAATTAAGTTATTTACACTATGCTCTGTGCATCAGATATGATGCAAAATTTATAATTATTTAAATAAAGTGGAAAAATAGATATCTTTCATTTGAGACCTTGCATCATCAGTCAAGCATCCTGTGGTCATATACAATGCACAAAATATTAAATTAGGCCTTTCCTCAGACTTTCTGCTCAATAGTAAACTGTTAAAACTTCATTAGTTTTACCACTTTTTTAAAATCATAGCTCATGTGCACCACATATGATGCATGGACATGGAAATCACATGTCCTGTGAATCACATATGAAGTGCAGGACAGGCAAAGAGTTAAATACTATTTTAATTGCATTGGTGATATTTTCTGCATCTATTGGGTTGAAACAACAATTTGTAGCATTTTTCAATAGGTGGCATTGGAGTGAAAGTTATATTGTTTTTTTTACTAAAGTTCACCCCTATACAAGACTCAAGAGCCACACAAAGTAGAGGTTACTGTGTGTTATCAGCATACAAAAGAGCAAGAAGTGCAGTTCATGAGGTTATACAGGAAAGATAACAGTTAATCCTAGACGAAGAGGTCAAGATTGTAGCAATCAGGAAAACATCTTACCAGTAGTCTGTTCCACAAAGGAGCAGTTCTTGAGAAGAAGCTGTCCTTGGGGAACTTACTTCTTACTGATGAAATACAAAGGGGATGAAGATGATTCATCCATTTGTATGTGGTATGGTGGGTTTTAGCTGCATATGTTAGGGTTTGTGGAACCAAGGAATGTAGCTTGTCAGAGCACTTTCTATGGAAATAGCAATAGAGTAGTGAGAGGCTTGTGACATTTTGTTTGTGTGAAAGGGGTTGTAGGGTGGAAAATAATACATCACCTACAAGTCCGTGTAGATGCTTTTGAACTCTATCAAGACAGAAAAGCGAGGACTGAGCAGTTTCAGCCCAGATATAGCAGCAATACTCTATTTTTGGTCTGATCTGGGTTTTATAAAGATAGAGGGAGTTAGTTACCTACTGGAGCAGTATAATAAATTGGTCATTTTTCCAGCATCTTTAACAATAGATTGTATAGATGATTTCAACTTGAGGTCTGGTGTAAGCTTGAATCCAAATAGACATTCAAGACAAGGAGCCTCATTGATATAATGTCTATCTCTCATGAAGGGCAAATGTCCAGAGTCTACATATATAGGTATTCCGAAAAGATGACATTTCAACTTTCTCTATATGATTCATGTGTGGATTGTGAATTTTAAAGATATAGTGACAATAATCCATTACTGGTCTAATCAGACTCTTGTAAAGATAGAGCAGAAGAAGTAAGATACTTCCTTGAGTACTAGAATAAGCCAACCATTTTCACAGCATCTTTACCAATAGATCATGAGCTTCACAAGGTCTTGAGTGAACATGAGACACAGTAGATGTCCAAAGCATGGAGCTACATTGAGAATACAGCTGTTCCCTGTGATGAAGTTTGGTAAATCTTCTACTAGGTCCCTGCAAATAATTTGTCAGTGTTTTGGTGAACATTCTTTTGGTCCAACACAAGTTTCTGAGTGTCACATGTATTTCAACTCTAATCAAGTGATGATTCAAGATGAGCTTTCAGAGTGAGCCATCACTAGCAAAATACCAGAAGATTTGGCTGAAAATTTGTGAACTTATCCATATTTCAATCCTTACAAAATACTCTTAACAAGAAGAACTTCAAACCTGTAAAAGAAACTGGCATCAATTTATCACCCCAAAACATACCAAATTCTGGGAGAATGGAATCATGAAGCTACTTCAAATATGGTGAAAGGTAGTAGAACAAAATGGCACTTTGAATAAAAAGGGGGATAGATAACAATTGACCCTTGACTTAGAGGTTAAGACTGTTGTGTTTAGGGAAGCATCCATGAGGGAGTCTGTTCCACAAAAGGGGTAGTTCTTGGGGAAAAAGCTGTTTAAGTGGAACTTTCTTCTTACAATTGGAATATGGGGGAAATGGAGGTGATTTGACTATGTGGGAGTAGCACAAGATGTCCTATATAATAGTCTGAACTGGTAGAATTAAAATATGGAATTCATCTGAACATTTGAGATGGAAATAGCTATAGAGTAAGTGATATGCTTATAATGTTATGTCTGTGGGAAAGAGGCTGCAGAATGGTAAGGCATCCCCCCCCACCACAAAGCCAAATAAACAATTTTGAACTCTATCAAGACTAGAAAGTGAAGATTGGGCAGCTCCAGCCTAGATATAGCAACAATACTCCATTTTTAGTCTAATCTGAATCTTTTAAAGATAAAGCATGGCAGAAGGAGTAAGATACTCCCAGGAGCACTAGAATAAGCTGATAATTTTCTCAGCCATTACAGCAATAGAGGATGAGTTCCATTTAAGGTCTGGTGTGAACTTGAGAACAAATAGATGTCCAAAGACTGGAACCACATTGAGAATACAGCTGAGTGGGTATCTGTTCATCATTACTGGAGAAAACTCAGGTTGGAAACCAACCTAGGAAAAGGAAAGCTCTGATTTCAAAACTGGTTGGGTGTTGTGCTAGCAACTACACTTTAAAAAATGTATTACTCCACAAGACTTCAGAAATGATTTTGAACTCTGTCAAGGCTGGAAAGTTAGGACTGGGCAGCTCCTGCCTAGATATAGCAATAATACTCCATTTTTTATTTAATCTGGCTCTTGTAAAGATAAAGCAGGGCAGGAAGAGAAATATACTTCCTTGAGTACTAGAATGAGTCAACCATTTTTACAGCATCTTTAGCAATAGATCATGAGCTCCACAAGTCTTAGAGTGAACTTGAGATGCAATAGGTGTCCAAAACATGGAGCCATATTGAGGCTACAGCTGTTTCCCATGATGAAGTTTGGTAAATTTTCTAAGTCCCCAAAAATATTTGTCAGTGTTTTAGTGAACATTCTTTTGGTCCAACATAAGTTTCTGAGTGGCACATGCATTTCAAGTCCAATCAAGTTATTTTGAAGACGAGCAGAGTAAACCATTACTAGCAAAATGCTAGAAGATTTGGCTGAAAATTTGTGAACTTATCCATGAGGACCATTGCCCAATTATCCACCCATTCTTTCTCACACATAACTAGAATAAGTTATAGAATCAGTCAGGAGATTCTAAATGTGTGTGATGTCAAGGAAACATTCAAAGACTTCATAGCAGCAGCCGTTTGCTGCAACAGAGTTGCTATTTGATAATGTTCTTATTTAGTGATAAATTCTTCTAATCCAGACGTAATAATCCTAATGCTTGCTTAAAAGACAAAAATTAAAAAATTATATAAAAAGGCCAATAGAACTTAAAAGGATTTTTTTTCATTTTTAAGAAAAAAAAAGAAAGATAGTAGATATATTGCAAATTGATTCAGATGTTTTCTTTTACGATATGTTTCCATGATATCACACACACTTCTGTATGGACCACTGTACTTGACATGTACCATAAAAAAGTATGAATAGTCGAGTAAATATTTATTATTCATCAGAGGATGAACTACTGTCACTGCTGCTGTTTTTATCAGACGATGTGTGGTGAGATTTTTTCTTTCTTTTGCTTTTTGACGTTTTATGCATCTGAAAAAAAAAAATCACAAAAAAGAATTAGTTTTATAAAGTATTCATGAAAGGTATTAATAATCAATTTGCTTTTTAATACTGAGCAAGTATTACTTGCTGTATCTCTTCGGGATGTGAATGAACATGGCTCTCCACAATTTTATATTCTTTGTAGCTCTTCACAGTGTCTTTTTACTATACTTTCCATTCCCTGTTGTACCATCCATTTACCCAAGTTTGCTTCTGTGCCTTCAATATATCCTGTGAGTGTCAAATTCTCCAAGTCCCCTTTCCTCATTATATGTTCTAAAAATTTCACCTTTTTCTAAATGTCATTTTTGTTTCTGTTTTCCTTGAAACTTCTTCATTGCTTTCATACTCTGTCTGTCATCCTTCTGTAGAACCATATCTCAAGTCTTTTCTTCATCTTTGAGGAAATTGTTCAGCATTCACATCCATATGGGAACATTGATATTGCATAGTTCTTGGTCTACCATCCATTTATACAAGTTAAATAATAATTTCAGAATATTATTTTTTAGTGGCAGTGTATTTGACTCAGACCTTCTGAGATTGACCTTAAGGTTAGATGGTAGACAAAATAGGGATGTCGATTTTGATTGGCTGAGCTGAACATGGGAATGTTAGAGTTAGAAAGTGTTTTCAGTGAGTTAAGTTTTATGCATCAAAGAATGCAGACATGTTAATTTTGTGTGTGAAAACTGCTCCCCAGTGGGGTGGGATAGCAACCCCACTGACTAGTTAAAAAATGTACACATCGATGTGTTTAATAAATTAGATAAGTTTTAAAATCCCTTTTGTTGAAATTCTCATTTTAGTTCCAAACAAAAAAAAAAACAACTAGCAATCACCTGGTCAAGAGAAGAAAGAAAAGATAGAAGAATGCAGCTTTGTTGTGGAATGACCATGTCGACCTCAAAACTGTCACCCCAAGACGACCCCCAGCAAGAAGCGGGTATATAACACACACATTCATTAAGTAGGTTACTCACTCCTCACTCTCCCTCTGTCCCTCTCGCTTTCAATATGTCCTGTGTGTGTGTGTGTGTGTGTGTGTGTCAAATTCTCAGAGCATTCTTTTCTCATTATGCGTCCTGAGAATTACAAGTGTCTCTTTCTATATGTCCTTTTTGTTTTTATTTTCCTTGAAACTTTGTTTTAAACATGTTCCATTCAAGCTATTGGCAGTCTCTTTCCAAAAAGACACATCTGCCACCTCGTGTCTCTTCATCTGTGAGAAAATTGTTCAGCATTCATTGAATAAAAACTTGTCCTTCATTTTTTTGTTTCATTCTCTGTAGGTATCAATGTAGATTTACAGGTGATGTAATGGTTATTGTCATGCGAAATGAAACTATCAAAGTTCAAATTCCATCCAAGGCAGTTGCATTCACTTTCACATTTATACCCTTGAAAAAGGCATGAATCCATCTCTTTTCCCCCTAGCTATAAGTACTAAGGCAAACTGGGCTCTTTAGCTTTAGTAGGGCAACAAGACTAGGAGAAGAATAACTCTAAATTTATAACCATGAAGAAGGAAATGGGAAAACACTCTTTCTTGGGAGCAGTCATAGCAATACACTGATGTTAAAAGAAAGCTGTAGAGTGCCATGATCACCTACCTACTGAAAAGATATTTAAAAAAAAATGTATCCTCTTTATAGAAGTATAAATTATATTTTAACATTCTAAGCTGAAACTTGTTTTTAATTGATGTAAATAATCAATGGTAATTGTTCTGATGAGCTTTCCTCTTTGGTACCTTAACTTTGTGAATTTAAGGGCAGTACTAGGTTGGCAGCTAGGTCTCGTAATTTCACTGTTGAAATTGCTAGATGTAACCATAAGTTCTATGTTGTTTCTTCCTTCGTGCTTCTTGCTGATTTCTTCCTTTTTTGTCAACTATGATCTTCAAAAATTTAAATGCAATGCTAATTGTCATCTTCTGTTTCCTATTTTTCCTTTTTATTATCCTTTCTCCAATAATAATTTTTTCACAATTTCTTTCACTTTCTGTAACCCATTGCATTTTAATGGCTTTTATTGCCTTGTTATTAAGAATGTTGGACAGATGGATATACACAGACATGACAGAATTGAATAGACACCAAGATAAATTTTATTTCTGATCTTTTTTAATAACCAAGATAAATTAACTTAGATTATTTGATTAAAATTGCAGATAACAATACTGGAAGATCCCATGAACCAAAGGAGCATCAGACCCCCTCCGAATTTCAGCGAGGACGTATCGTGGGCCAACATGAAGGTGGTCTTAGTCAAAGAAAAATATCTGAAAATCTTTCAATACCCCTTTCTACTGTTAATAGAGTGATCGTACATTTCACCAGAGAGGGCAAGAAGTGCACAAAACCTCATCCAGGCCGCCCTGGGCCCTCTGAAAGAACCATGCATCTTGTCGAAAGAAATGTTGAACAGGATCCACATTACAAGGCCTCTGACATAGCAACACAAGTTGATGTCAGTCCCAGAACAGCTGTCAGGTATCTTCACAAGCTGGGCTACTATGGCAGACCTGCGAGAAGGAAACCAATTCTCCATCCAGCCAATATCAAACCCAGAAAGGATTGGGCTCATGAGATGGTGGAGAAACCTGTGACCTTTTGGACCACTGTCATTTTCTCTGATGAGTCAAGATTCGCATTTTCTGACAGTGGAAGAGTATGGGTATGGAGACTCTGTAGTCAAGAGTTTGATTTAAAAAGACTGCAGCCAACGGTGAAACATGGGGGCCTTTCAGTAATGGTATGGGGTGCAATTTGGAGTGATGGTCGCTGAGAGCTTGTGGAGTGTGAAGAAAACATTAATTCAACCAAATATGTTTCTATATTAAAGAAAGGGCTCCTTCCAATATTCTCAAGTAGAAGAATGAGCAAAGTTAGCTCCCTATTTATGGAAGATGGAGCTCAAGCAACGCAACATTGGTTGAGACAAAATGGGATCAATAAACTTCCATGGCCAAGTCAGTCCCCGGATATTAACCCTATTGAACACCTTTGGGGCATATTAGATCGAAAACTCCGCAAAAAGAACAGGAAGCCATCTTCTAAGCCCGAACTTTTAGGATTATTGTATCAAACATGGCAAAAAATCCCTCAAGATATTTGTGAACTCATCGCTAGCATGCCTAGAAAGGTCCTTGCATTAAAAAAAGCAAAAGGGATGTCAACAATGTATTAGTTATTAAATTTATGACCATTTATAATTACTTCATTTGTATAAATTACTTGTTTAATAAAATAAACGGTTTCTGTGAGTGTCTATTCAATTCTGTCATGTCTGTGTATAACCAGTTGCCACAGAAATGATAAAGGGGCAGTCTCTCAGATTCCACATCATAATGTAAAGTTCACTTATCAGAGCTGGGGTCACATCATAGACTGGCAAAGAGTAACTGATGAAATATTGGAGTGAATAAAATGTTAAGTCATGAAGATTCAAATCTCATTCTATCCTTTTGCTTGCACAGCTGTTCCCAAACTTGCAGGATAGCTACATGCAAGCATTGAAACAATTTCCAAATATTTGAACTGAATTGGAAAGTCAAAGAAGCCCGCAAAATATAAGTCACTAGCAGTATAACCCGTCTTTGACGGGGTCTTTCATTACTGGGAATTTTTGCCATTCAATTGGAGCAGTTTAAGTTTAAAGTCAGCCCACCCAAAAATCAATGTTAGTAACAATATTTGGGTGCAACTGAGGCACATTCCCAAGGAGGAGGTTAATAATTTGAATGGGAGAGTGGCCCTGAAAAGGGAACTGTATAATAAATAATATTGTAATAATTTAAAGTTTTTATGAAAGATATATATCCAAGAACAGGTAGGAAATAGTAAAATGTTACTGAGAGTTATAATGGACGGGAAGTAGTGGAGAGCCAATGTCACCAACAATTTTGACTCAAAACTGACACTGAAGAATTATCTATCAAACAAAAAAAATTTCATTGAAATGGGATGAAAACTGTGAAATACATAAACAACATCTGATCACACATACATACATACATACACACACATTTTCTAAGTTCTAAGCAAACAATTTCTTCTCTTGCACTTCTCGCTTGTGAAACTCTTCTAGTTTCTTGCTTTCCAGCCAAAAATTCAAATGCAATATTAATCATTATCTTCTGTCTTCTTCATTCCTGTTCTTTTATTGTTCACTCTCTCTTTAATTTTTTTTTCATATTCTTTTACAGTCTAAGTGGCTTTATTGCCTTGCTTGGATGAAATAATTAAAAAAAATGTCATTTCAAGGTTAATGCTTAAAAACCTGTATTAATTTATGAACAACCTGATAATTAAACTAAAGTGACTTTTTAATACTAACAAAATCTGACATTAACTAAATTACATTTATCAAGAAGATATATATTTATATTAAAAATAATATTTATATTAGTAGAGTTTTGGAAAAAAAATGACTAAATGTAAATATTTTAGCCTTGACTAAGTGTACATGCTAAATTTATACAGAATAAAATATGGACTTTGATAAAAGAATGGAAGGCATGTCATGTAACAGTTAATAAAGAAATCAAATAATATTAAAAACATTCATATAACTCATGAAATGTTATCTTTATAAACATTAATATACAAAAGAATCATAGTAATCTCATAAAAATAAAAAAAAAATATTTGACAAGATTATAACAAAGATATGTTAATTTATCAGTTGAAAGTTGAAAGGTCAATAATTCATTGACCAACATCTATCGTCGTCTGAAAAGAAAGAAATGCTCCAAAGTTCACGCAACAAAGATAACTTGAGATATAATATAAAAGATGAATTAGTTGAAATAAAATTTACTTAGGAAAATTGGTTGATTTGTTTTCCACGGATTATCAATTTAGGGAGTGAATATTGCTTAAACAATTTTTTTTTTTTTGGAGAATAGCAATAATTTTCTTTTACAAGTCTTACTATTTAATCATAGCTGAGAGGAGATGGATACATCAAGGGCAAAGTGAATGTAACTAACCCAACTGGATTTTGAACTCAGCTCTCTAATTTCTTTTTTCAAGCTACTATCAATTGCACCACCAGCACATCCACTTACTTTGGAAAATCTCTTACAATTGGAAATGTTAACACATGGAAATTTTTTTTTATGGTGTGTACCTTTTTTTTGTGCAGGTGTATGAATTGCATTTAACAATAACATTACATGTATTTTATATTCCTACTTTTCTTGAAGAGTTGGGTTTATTTTGTTTTATGCCATATCAACCTGAATGGATTATATCATGCTGACAAAATTTTTAGAATAGATTCGTTTGTTTGTTTCATGGCATATCAACTCCAAATTAATTTAATTTTCTTGGGAGCATTAATAATTTTACAAAAATGTATTGTTGGTAATATATATTTTTTTTTCAAAAATCTATTGTTGGTATTTTTATTATAAAAATCTATTTTATACTTTCATAGTGTTTTGACCCAAGTTTGTGGGTTAATTATTTGCCCATAGCTTGGACACTAACAGGTGCTACCACCCTGGGTCAGAGTGGATCTGGGAACAACAGCGATTAAATGGTGATTCTATTCTTCTCAAAACCTCCTAATCAAAGGTTTTGCTGCCAGATGTAGTTTATCATCATACACAGGATGTTTTTTTTAACCTGAATTAACTTTAACAGTTGATGCTGGAATTCAAATTTTTTTAGCACCAGCTTTAGCACAGATATTAACTCATAAGAGAAAAAGATATAAAATGATTCTAATTCAGGTACTGCTGTCCTAGTTTGAAGGAAAGTTTGTCAGACAATTTAGATTAGATAACAGATGGAAAACAAAGAAGCAGTCTCTATTTTTTCCTAATATAATATTGAAAAACGTTGATGGTTGTTTGATTTTGTTTAGCAGCATGTCAAAACTCTATGAGTTATTTAATGCTGAAATCTAAATATTTTGTACATAATTTTTGGCCTTCAACTACAGAGATTTCATTCATAATTTTATACTTTCAGGGTTTTGTTTTTTTAGATAGATAGAAGATAAGAGGTATTGTTGGTAATATTTTAAAAAAAAATGTATTGCTGGTAATTTCATTATGAAAATGTAGTGCTGGTAATTTTACTATAAAAATGTATTGCTGGTAATTTCAATATAAAAATGTATTGCTGGTAATTTCAATATAAAAATGTATTGCTGGTAATTTTAATATAAAAATGTATTGCCCGTAATTTTAATATAAAAATGTATTGCCCGTAATTTTAATATAAAAATGTATTGCCCGTAATTTTAATATAAAAATGTATTGCCCGTAATTTTAATATAAATTTTGTAAAATACATCTATTAGAGACTTTGGTATACATCATCAGTTATGTTTCTAGCTGAGGTTCATTAGGGGTTCCGGGTCTTTCAACTTTTCGATTTCTTTGATTTTCATTGGTTAGTCATGTTTTATGTGCATTCAACTTGTAAAACAAAGACCACACAGAAAAACTAGAATTATTATACACTCACATGCATAAAGCAATATTTGCGGTTTTTCAGTTAAGCATTGATTATGTGGAACTTTGAATGGATGCATCATCTCTCTTTGAATTTGGAATGCCACAAATTATACTAACATTTATTTAACAAGTTGAATGTATGTGAAACATGATCAACCAATGGAAATCAAACACAAAAGTAAAAATAGCAGAATTTTTTCTCCATATATCATTCTCTAATGAAGCTTTATTAAAAATGAAATATGTTAGATTGATAAATATTTCTTATTTGTTCTACATATATATATATATATATATATATATATATATATAAAATCTTTATGTTATTATTAAGAGGAAGGATCAAAGTATTTTTTGATTATTTAAATAAATTTTTTGCTCCTTTAAAGAACATTCAAAAGTTTTATTAATAAACTTGTCTTTCTTGCATCAACGGTTGTACTTTTAGCATAGCAAATTTTATCTTCTTTTTGCAGTGACAGACACATTAATTTGGAAATTCTTGCAAAAATCAAATAATTGTTGGATTTTAATGAAATTTTCAGAACTTATTCACAAATGAATTAAATTATTTTTGAAATTTTTTATTATTAGAAAAACCTGGTAAAAAAATTTTTATATGCATTTCACTCTAATAAATTTTATGAAAACTTAAGAAATACAGCATGATAATTTTTAGTGACTATATTAGTTAAAAGCAAAATTGTTTGAATAATTTAAATCACTGTTTTTTTTTGCAATATCAGACCCCATCTTACCAAAAATCTGTTCTGAATCAAAAAATAAAAAACTAAGACATTATTTAATTAGAGTAGCTTTTAAAATTTAGTTTCAATGGGGGTAACTCTTAGGAAATATTGTTATTAAGTAAAACTATATTTACTAATCATAAGCTTATTATAATCTGACAAACCCAAATATTTTTTTACAAAGAATCTGGATTTTTTTTTCTTGTGTTTAAACATCCTAATTTTTCTATACAGGTTTGTACATGACATTATCATTAAAAGGTCACATTATCATAAAAGGTCCCCCATTACAGAAAAAAACCCTCATATAAAATCTATCGTCTGCTATCAATTTTAGGTTACCATACTTTACTTTTCAACACATTAGGCTGTTGATAAATCAATCAACATGTCAGAAAAACAAGACCCTGTGGTTAAGAAATGATTGTGTACAACATTTTATGATATAAGTAATATTTGCTCAAATCAGATTAATTTAACTTTGTTAATTTTCTAAGTTTTGCTAATTTACCTCAAATAACGTTTCAGAAATATATATTTTATTTTTGCAAAATTTTTAAAACCAAGAATTTTGTTTACAAATGTGTTAAAATGACCGATTTTATTGAAAAAAAAAAAAAAAAAAAAAAAAATTAAAAAATTATGATCAATTTCTGTTTGAAATACACCACAGAGTATTTTGTTTACTGGAAAAAATAAATTTTAAATCCTTTAGCTTTCAATTAAAGCTAAAATGAAAACTTCAAGAAAGCTTCTTCATTTTTAAAAATTCATTTTAAACCTTATGTATACTGAATTAGTAGAGGTACCTACATGGACTTGAAAGGATTAAAACAAAAATAAACAGACATAGTATATCTAAATTATTTAACCAAACCTGTTTGAATATATACATATAAAGAAACAACTAATATTACCATTGTGCTATATCTGCCTTCAATAAGCAATTATATTAAACCTAATTACAATTAACAGTAAATAATGTAGTAAGAATACTTCAATTAGAGATATATAATTGCTCAATAGAGCTCGAGTGTACTTGTCAAAATATTGTGATGTGATTGCATCACTATTTTAGTCAAATAGGCTTGTTCCATTTAGTCTACTGTTTTATTCAGGTTGTTGTCTACCCCCAGGACCATGGACCCAGTAAATGGTAATCAAATCTTCAGACCCATCTCTGAAAAGCATCCATTACAACCTTATTTTCTATCTTTCTTTTTTTCCTTTCTTTGTGGAAGCTAGTGCTAGCTTTTATTTAGCCAAAATTTTGGCCAGGACCTTATAAATATTGAAAAGAATCTTACATCTGGACTGGGAGAATCTTTTTTGTGTTTTCGCTTTTCCTTTTTCTTGTGTTTCTTCTTGGATTTCTTCTCCTGAAAGAAACAAGTCTTGATAATTATTCATAAAGTCATTTAAGGAAAAAAAAAAAAAGATGCAATTTACTAGCAAAGAATTAATAAATTGATTAGCAAAATTAACATTTTCTTTTTACAGATTTATATTTTGAAGAGCAATTTCAGTCACATATTATAGTTTTAATTTTATTACTAGATCACCCATAAACCCATTTGTAGAGTAATTGACCATTGTTAAATGTAACTAGCAGAAATGCCGAACAAACAGAATTGACAAAGTTTGCAATAAACAATAACAAGAGAAAGAAAAGAAAAGAACAGGGCAGAAAATAATATAAAGCAAGCAAACAATATATGCAAGGCAAATAAAAAAAAAAGTAAAAAGGCAAATAGTTCACAAACTAAGAATGGTCTTAACACACAAGAGTGATGTACACAGAGGATCATTGTTCTGAATTCAAGTCAAGAAAGAACAATATGGTGGATGAATTTTTTATTAACTATGAAGAAATCCCAGCATGCATCTGTATGTTTCGTCTATAAATTTGGTGAGTGGGGATGTTTTTGTAGTCATTCCTTATTGGATTAGAATCAACACAATTGTGTTCCTTTTAAATACAGTTCAAAATGCAGTTGATACAAAATGATGAGGTAACAATATCATTAATTTTATTATTAATTATATATGCCATATCTGAAGTTATTAAACAAATCATATAAACTTCAATAATTCAAATTTGGTTTGAAAAAAAAAATTTAAACAATCAATTTAGATGTCAAAATAAAGCTTGAGTTAAAACTTTAGGTAGTATTAATATGTATTATTGAAGTTATTTGGTGTATTCTAAAACCTTCCATCTGAAGTTATTAGGCAAAACCAAATAATCACATTTTACTTCAATAAAAAGGTAACAAAATCATCAAAAATTGATCAATATCTTTAATAGAACAAATAACAAACACATATGATAAGTCTTTCAGTCCTTTACATTTTAATATATTGACCTTCTCAATAACAGTCCGTAATCTATTATCCATTGATTTTGTTAAATTTTTTTTTTTTTTTTTTACTTCAGCAGGTTCAATTTCCAACATAGTAGTTTTAATTGATTTCCAACATAGTAGTTTTAATTGATTCCCATGCTTTGCTGTTATAATGTTTGCCACCATCATATAATTTCATCTTCACAATTGACCATAGATTTTCAATTGGATTCACATCAGGACTTGATGGTGGCCATTCCATTATCTTCTCTCCTGCTCAAAGAATTCAAGGGTAAGCTTAGATACATGAGAAGGAGCATTGTCATGCATAAATACACACTTCACTTTGAAACTGCAAGACTGGAACTTGTACCATGCACACAAATACTTGTTCATAAAATCACAATAGTTACCACTGTTCAGTTTAACTCCTTCATTGACTTTGAATGGTCCAATAATGGTTTGGTCAATAATTCCAGCTCATATCATAACACTACCACCTCCTTGTTGCCTTCTTTCAGCCACATGAAGCTTCTGGATTGGATAAAATCCTTCTTTGGCCATCCATCAGCCAACTTTCATGTATTTCTTGGCCAAATTTTGGCACTTTAAAATATTTGCTTTGGAGGTTGCATAGGAGATTTTTTTTTTTTTTTTTTACAGATCCCGGTTCATAAAGTATTCTACACCTTTTGTCCTTCCTGACACCCTCAATTCTAGCCTTTTCAAAGATCTGAGTGCTTGTCAAAAGTGGTTGTTTCACTATAATTTGCTTTAGTTTATGTTCATCTAGAGGAAGCAAGTTCTTAAAGCCTTTTCCTTTGCTTAGAGCTCTCAACTTGTATTTTCAACAGCCTTCTTTATCATTTGATATTCTCTGCAAAGCTCTTTTATATATCTCCAATGTGGACATTCCTTCACTCAATAACTTTGTTATTTTCTGTTTGTCAGCAATTGTTAAATCCTTCTCTTTACCATGTTTCAATATATACTAAGGACAAAAAGAAAAAAATTGTTTTTATTAGATTTCAGGTCTTAAGCTAATATTAGTTTAATTTGCATAATAACTTAAGTCAGTCCATTTTTGTAAATTCCAAATACCTCAAAAACTAACCATTAAAAATGGCAGAAAATTTAGTTAAATATTTTACTAATGGTGAGTTTAAATTTGACAAATATTAGTTCAGAACTTTTTGAGTTATCGAGGGTCAGTTGATATGCATAATAACTTCAGACAGGCTGTATATTTTAATTTGTATTTGCAATACAAGTTACTGTAATAATTATTATTATTCACATTATACAATATTATGTTATACTCCATTGCAATTAGATCTCTTTCAGATGCATTCTGCATACCAGCTGGATGTGAATGCCACGAAGGCAGAGAACAAAATAAAAAATTTTTTTTTCTCTATATAGGCTCGAAGCATAACATCCGATCTATGAAGCAAGCCCCTGCAATGAAAACACCACTGGCTAATCGCAAACATTCCCACCAAAAAGGAGATTGTCCCTGGGGTCTGCCAGATCTGCTTAAAAGCAGGTCTCCCATAACAAACACAAGCTGACATGCAGGGTGCTGCCACAGCTACTGAAATGACCACTCCTTTCAACATCCATTACCACTTCCAGGCTTGACTAACACTTGACTCTTCACACATGGAATCCAGAATATTATCTCAACATCATCACTACCCAGTTACAAGCCTTCCTCATTGCCAACGTGGTCACCTCAGCAAACCCGACTCACTACAACAGCCAACTATCCAACCTTGACACCACCAGGCCCAAGACACCAACTGTCATGACTAATAACATCTCAACATCGATCTCCACACAATTACAAGCCTTCCTTGTCACTAACACCGTCAACTTGCCAAATCCGACCCCATAAGCAGTGACTCTGACTCCACAAGTAAGCAAACAAGTGACTATAACTACGCAAATTTTGTAATGTCAATAAACACTCGTTGTCACTTTTGTAATGCTCGTTGCAGTAGAGACTTTGTTATCACAGATACAACTATAGTAATGCTGTTGAACAATACTGGTGTCAGACACCTTCGAATATCACTCGCACTAATAGTACATGCTTGATAATACGTACTTGAAAAGTAACCACTGAATAGTGATCTGAATAGTGATCAGTATAGAGAAATAGTATTGTGAAGAGAATAGCGATCCATATAGTAATAGAGGATAGTATAGAACTAGTTTTCACTTAGACACCACGCTAATTCCCAGATATACATTTTCTTTACCATCACATGATCTACTTATTCAAAATGGGATCACCTGTGTTTGCTCTCTGGTGATCTGTGTTCAAACTCCAGTATCAACAGCAACACTTTATTCCTATATAACACTTACCCTTTGAGATGACTTCTCCTGGAGTCTATACTTCTTCAGCTTCGGTTCAACAGTTTGAAATTCTGTTGGCATTCTTTTTCTTTTGCCATAAACCATTGGTTCAGCAATTTTTGATAGTGTAGGTATGTTAAACTTAACAAACAGAATTTCCATTGGTACCTTTCTTTGGGAACTTTTTAAATCAGTGAATCTAGGTGTCGGTTATGTTCCCACCTTTGTCCCTGTACCATGTAAGTCATTTTGCTGAGCTGTTTTTTTTTTTTTTATAATGACATCTTTCCAGAATTCCTTTCTGTGCTGATACATCTTAAAAAGTACCTTATCTCCAGGTGTGAAGTATTTACTTATATTGTTATTTCTTGATGCTTTTGCCATATGTTCTGGTAACAATTTATTAAAAACAGACCTTCCTGGCAAACATCAACTTTGCAGACAACATTTCAGACATGGTGTTCGGGTTTGGTGTTATTCTGAAAACACTCAGAAATTGTTGAATCATTACTTCATCTGACTCCTCTCCCTCCAACTTTTTTAGTACCCTTTTAAACGTATCGACAAACTGTTCTGCTTGTCCATTTGTTCTTGGGTGATAAGGGGGAGTTGTAATATGTTCTATTGCTAATATTTCTATTTCCTCACCTTGTGCTACACTTACATCTGATCACCATTGTGATAATCAGCAACAGTAATTGACATTTCATTGATTTTCTGACAACTCTGTAAGACTCCCTATATACTAAACAAATACACCTTTGTCAAAAACCTAATCCTTAATATTCCTTTACTTTTGCAAACAAAATCTTATTATAACAATTACTTAGATCAAACGCAATAATAATAAATTAATAAATGGAAAGGTTTTCAGAATTTGTGAAAGAATCTGCTGCTTTACATTATTTTCTTAATAAAATTCAACTGGAAATTCTATGATAAACAACAGACTTTCAGAATGAACAATAAATTAACAATACCAGAATGACATAGGTGGCATATCATTGTTCCAGGATTATAACCAAGCTTTAATTTGAAAAATCCCTGTAATGCAAACATTGACCTGTAGGAAAAAGTTTACTTTTTTTAGAATGGAATTGCATAATGTTATCACACTAAAGGCCTTTCCATTCAAGTAATAGTAGCCTCAGGGTGACAATTTATACCAATTTTAGTATTTTCCATATTATAATTTTCAAAGGTGAAGGTCATTCAAAAAACAAAACAAACAGCAATTGTCTGCTTAGAAAGAATCATATTTATTGAAATAAAGTATAGATGCCTCCTTTTTGTGCACTTATTTTCATTTTTTTTCTAGGTAATTTTTTCAAAATAATAATTGTATTTTTTATTATTCATACTTGTTTCCTTATTTTTATTTCAAAATACATAATGGCAGCAAACTAGCATAAATCTATTTATTTATTTACCATCAAGTCATGTGACAATTTTCCAGCCATACAGATTATGTTTTACACTAACAGACACATACACACATAGCGTCTTCATCTATCAAGGTAGTTACCAAACATCCGAGATATTTGTTATAACATTATAATAATGTTATATTATGAAAGTTTATTATTTTTCAATTACATAATAGTTCGGTTATAATATGCAAGTGTTTGTTTATATATGTGGATTGATATAAGAATGTGTATCAAAAACAA